AAAAAAAAAAAAAAACTTTGATAGGTATTTGTGGGTGATATTAATGTTGATAGGAGTAGAACCCATTGTCATGTAGTTTTAATCTTTCATTTTCTCTTCCATCTTTCTAACCCACAACCCAAAATGGTATATTTTACAACCCAGAACATATGGAAATGATATATTTTCCAAACCACTCAAACTCATTCAATTTTTAATTTGAAAATAAACACAAACTAATAAAAATCATACAAAACTAATTTATAAAATATTAAAAACATACAAAAGTAATTCACAAACTAATTTAAAAACATACAAAACTATTTTGATACAAGTCGTAAAGTAAAAGGTACAAGTAATCAATGCATTAGTTGAAAATGTGTTGTGCTGTTTACGTAAACCGCAAATGGTCCATTATTATTAACCTGTCTTGCTCAACCCGCTGAAGGAGGAGTAAGGTTCCCGACGGTACCACCACCCCATCTTACACTACTCTGTCCACCCTAAGTAGTGGAAAGTGAGAGTTTTAGCAAGCTTATGGTTAGGCAACATCTTTGGACCTACCCTTTGAGCGTATACATGTCCCCATCGTATATACACGGTATACTTATTGTAATGTGAGGTCATCCTAGCAGCTGCATTGTCGTCCTTAGTTGTTTGAAGTGTTTCTATACTATTAATCCCATATGAACTTTGACTCCTAAATGCAATCTTTAGTTTCAAAAATGTCAAGGTAGATTCATGTTTGCATGGCAATGTGATTAATTGCACCCTAGGATGCTATTTGTACTTAAAGGCGATCACTTTTGTTTTTGTATCACTCTATGGTTTTATTTCTTTGATTTCTAGGTTTTGTCATTAGTGGATGTACCTAGGCATTATTAGTAAAGGGGATGATCGAGGAAGGATGGGAACTAGGAAGAGGGACATTCAGTGTGTCACATGTTGTGGGGGAAGAAATCGCTGGTGTAGGGAAGGGGATGTTAAATCATAAAAAGTTGATGTGGCATTTTTTATCATAGATAATTAAAATAAAAAGTTGATGTGGCATTTTTTATCATAGATAATTAAAAAAATTTCACATTACCTTGCAAAAGTCATGTATTTAGTAATATGCAGAAAATTTCGTTGCATATACAACCTGATTGAAAAAGTCATTATGTTAATTTGTAGCAAAAATTCCACTCCATTTACACTAAGTCGTACGGATGGCAATTCTTGAATTTTTTGACCAACAACCTGCCAACCTGTTCATTATACAGGTCGTGTTCAGGTTTATAAAATTTTTTTTGGTTGACCCGTGAACCTGTTTATTTTATTATATTAAAAAAAATTAATATATATATATATATATATATATATATATATATATATATATATTAAATAAAAGAGAAAATAAGGACTAATAAGTAAATATGTGATATTTAGACTTTTTTCCGGTGACCTACCAACCTTATTCTGCCCCACAAACCCAAATTTCGCTCACAAACCAGTATAGTTAAATGGGTTATACGGATTGACCTGTTTATAGCTAATCAGGGTTAGGGTTTAGCAATACAACACAAATATTTATATAAATCGTGTCCAGATTAAGTTTTTATGACCTGTCAACCCGAACTCGACACAATTATCGCCATAATGAGTTATTACTTGTTAGAAGGGATATTAAAAAAAATAAAAAATAAATAAAAAAATTCAAACTTACACTATAATAATGCCAAAAAGTCAAAAGTCAAAAGAAAACTCAGTTGTCTTAGGTAGATGTTGGAATAGCTCCTTCCCCAGTTTGGAAAGTACAAGTCCCAAGCCTCATGGTACTACTTCCAACCAAATAGATTCGACCGTTTTATCATGTGAAAAAACATAGACCAGATTTATAGGAATTCTTGTAACAGTTAACAACAGAATCTTGCAAAAACCCATGACAATCGATACCTTTCAGTTAATAAAATATAAACCCCAATTAATATGAAAAATCTTGGCTGAAATAATGAGAATTTACAGTTATGAAATGAATAAAATTTACAACATGTATGTTGACATTCAATAAAACGACCCATTTTTCACCACAAAAAAACAGGCGGCAAACAAATTCAAAGCCGTTTTTGTTTTTTGCTTAAACTTGGATGAAATCGCCATGTCCACATCATCAAGAACGCAAGAAGTCCAACACCAACAGATGACCATAAAATTACAAGCCATCTAGGCATTGGAGTAGGAAAAAGACCTAAAAAAAACAAAATCTTGATTCATAACATATCCATACATATAAATCTTGATTCAAAGTATTATACAATATAATCATGACATCAAAAACTCACCATGCCCAAATTTGATGCAAATAAGTAGTTCAATGATGCAAATTGCAAGCGAAAGCCAACAAAAAGCTCCAACCTTTTTCACAGGTTTTCTGAAAAATGACCGCATTTACAAAAATTAATACACATTTTTGCATCAAAGTATATGAATGAATTTGTACAAAAAGTGAGTAAGATTAATTACCGGTCTTGTAGGTAAGAATTATACTCCCGAACTGTAGGAATTGCAATAAGCCACCAAAGTAACAATCGATAAACAATAATGGGGTTTCGAGGTGGGACCCACAGGCAAAATTTGAGGAAAAAAGTGTTGAGTTCTACGGTTAAAAACACAATGCAAAGGGTTAAAACTTGAATGAATCGCCACGGATCAAGAAACGGATGCCATTCGTCTTTGTCCCAATTTGCTGGAGTAAATTGACCTAATGTTCGTTTTACCTGGCACACAGATATCCACTGGTCAACAGACTGACACTGATACTGATACTGATTGGACTGGAAACATAAACTTACTTTGCCCAAAATATTTGGTTGACGGCTTATTCCTACCCACTCGTATGTTTTACCATCAAAATAACGAACCGTATGCATCCCTGCCCAAATACCTACCAATAAAATAAATGTAAAAATAAAATTTTAGACTAATTATTAAATATGCATCTAAATGAAAGTAAAAACTTTCTAATTTAAGCATCTCACCTAGCCAATTGCAAATCAATATATCAAGAACAATGCTGTCCCACCAACACTCATTAAAATTCGGCAACATATGGCGAAATGTTAGCTGAGGAAAGAATATAAATTAAAGCATTATATTTTCAGAAAAAATTGATTTTTAAGAAACTGGATTAATTGAATTTGAAAATCGGACCTCCATTAACTCAAATCCGATTGATAATACCCATAAAAGTGGTTGATTACGGATCATTATTGCCTTCGCCCACCACCCGAATAAATGAGCAGGAACAAATTCATCAAAAAGTGTTTCCTGAAGCGCCAAAAAAACTTTAGGAAAATATGTAAAAAAAATAAAATTGAAGAATATAAAGGTTTGAAGATTGTGAAAGAAGAAATCATACATAAACATTTATAAACCTGTTAGTTGGATTATTGGGTACATATATTCGACAATCAGCACCATATGATCTTTCCGGAAGTTCTGAAAAAAAAAATATATTACAAAGATAAAATCAAGACATGATGAAAACTTCTCAAAAAATAAAAAAAATTAAATTAATTTTTTCGTGGGATATAGAAATATGTAAAGATATAAAGAGTTACCAACACCAAGATCAGGATGGAGATACTTCATGAATTGCCTAGCATCATCACGATTCTAAAAACCAAAAAAAAAATGATTTTGTATAGGGGTAAAAAGGTAAAACAGCACAAAATATACTAACCTGAAAAAGCAAAAATGTTAATGCTACAAGGTAAATAACAGCCATGCCATGAACTAGACGCCAAATTGCAGGATGTGGCCTAATTAATAACCTATTTATAAGATCATACAGATAAAAATGTTAATTGCCTTATAAAAAAAAAATTAAAAAGTATGTTAATAAAAAATATAAAAAAGTAACTTACGTTGAAGGAGCTTGAAGCAAACAGTAAGCTAGAAAAACTGCAATCATTGCCCATATGCCCCTTTTATTTTGCAATAAACATCAAGATTTGAATATTACTTTCTTTAAAGAATCATGCAAAAAGAAATCCAAAAAGGATTCACCTTTTGACAGATGTTACAATATCATCTGATGGATTGCTTTCCGGATCAACAACTCCACTAGCCCAACTGAGAAACAGATTTGAAAATTAATTAATAATTCAAAAAAAAAATTGGAAATGAAAATGATACTTACATCAGAAAACATGAGCCTATGAATAAAAGTGTAATTGTTCGAGGTTTGTAAGCCCAAGCTGTCCATGGATCAAGTTCTTCATCAGAAATGGATGTGCTCACTTCATGACTTTGATGGGCAATATAGTCTTTTCTCCTTCCACTCTTAAGACCATTAGACTCCATAAAAATGTTGTGTTTTTAGCTTACCTTGATCACTGCAAATGGTGTAAATATTCAAACATGTAATACAGTGAATAAAAAACAAGATACCAAGATTTAGGTTACAGCAATTGCAAAAGATTTTCTGATGTTTAAGTTTCTTTCGTTTATAAAATCTTGCTAATTTGACAGAGTTCATATGTTCTGTGTGTGGATCTCATCTTGATTTCTACTTTAATTAACAAAACAAGAACTCACAAGTCACAATCACATCATTCATATTCGAATATGCCAATTAAACGATACCCACAAAATAAACAGATCAATTTCAAAAACTAATCGGATTAAGTAATCATGTTTAACTTCAATGAGTTAATCAGAGACAAATCTTCTGAATTCACATGATTATATGCAAATGGTAGAAAGTTCTGCGTCTTACCTCATTAGCAATCGTTTTTCCCAAAAACAATAATGAAAATAAACATAAAGTAAGCATATTAAAATCCGGCTACAATCATATGGAAATCAAATCTCAGAGTCAAACTCTCGAGACATAATTACTATTCAATTATCACACAAACGTAACGTGTTATCAACAAAACCAATACACCCCACTTAAATTCACCATCCAATATCAGAAACCCACATCAGATATAAAAGAAAAAGTCAAAATTAATGGAGAAATAAGAAGAGGAGATGCATGAAAAGGGCGAAAGAATGTACAGAGAGATGAGAGAAAAGTACATACGCATAACGAGAAGAGATGAGTAAGGAAAGAGTGATTGAGCCCTAGTGGTGAGACTGAAAGAAAAGGAAAGAGGGATCCTTAGCCGTCCGATCTTGGAGAAAAAGAGTTGAATGATGGGAGATTTCGAGAAGAACTGGAAGTTTGTATTGATGGGAGGAGATGCGTTATATGTAGTCTGTGAAAAGATTCTTGATAAATTTGAGTATGCGCAGTGGGAAGGATTTGTATGTATATGTATTGCTGCGTCAGTGAGAGGAAGTACGACTGGTCAAAGTGATGGAGAGCTTGTGAAATATAAAAGGGGTGATTTTATAATTTATATACCCTAGTTGCGGGTCATTAATTTTCAAAAGATATTTGCAATAAAATACAAAATATATGATACTATAAAAGTATCAATTTATTTTTATTTACTATAAGATATAATTTTTTTAATATTATAATTATTATGTGGTTTTTTTTGTTTTTTTTTTACTCATTCAGTCGAACATTGTATATTGTTTTTAATCTATGAGAACTTGGATCTATCCTTGCGTTATAACAGTAAAACATTACACATTTGATATGATAGTTTTTGTGAATCGATATTCATAATGGCCACTGTGAAGATGGGCAATAGAACTAACTTACACGATTTGGAATGTCTTGTGAACCACGTCTTAGCAGAAAAATTGGTCATAGAATCTACTCTGCTTAGATAATAAACGAGTATGCCATAAATTACATATCATTATATCCGACAGAATTTTACGCTTATAATCTTCACTCAAACCAAGAGAAATATCTATTGCTCAAAATCCATAGATTACATCTCCAAGCACATCATTTATATGTGATCAGTGGCGGATCTATCATTTGGTAAGTGGGGTGTATGGCACCACTTGAGGTTGGCTCACCTTAAATATATATATCTAAAAAAGAAAAAAAAAATTCTATTTTATATTCATATGTCTCCAATGTCCCCACTTGATAAAAGAGTAGCATCTCTTATTTTTTCTCCTATACCATAAAAAAAACAAATTTCTTCTCTTTTTATGATATCCTAGCTACTTGCTCCACAACTACCGGTTTGCACACCAAGAAAAGTAGCCTAAGACACAATCGGCCAGCCGCCCGAAGCCGCTCCCACCGGCTGGATACGATATAGTGGACCCCGGTTAATTTCGATCTGGATCCGCCACTGTATGTGATGTATGGATAAAAATTTATGTGATTCCATTCTTAAATGGATTTGAATTGCCAATGAGGGACTAGCCCAATTGTTAGAGGTTTTGCCTCTTATATTGGAGGTTCCGGCTTCTAATATGAGCGTTGACGAATTCTACTAACTTGTAATATCAACTTCTAAACCCTAACTAACTGTTCAAAAAATGGATTTTAATTATAAATTATTTTTTTTAAACGGCCGAATTTTATATAAAAAAAAAACTAGCAAGATTGTAACACCCGGTTTCGGGTCATTTCTTAATTCAGGATTGTCGACCGAAATTCGATCATGAAAAGGGATTTGGGCTTGAGGAAGGAAAGCTTAGACCTTATTGAAGGATTGTTAATGTTGGTTGTGATATCTAATCCCTTGATTTGTATGCTGGAGCCGAAGGGTAGAAAGGGAAAAGTTATAGATCGGGTTTCTTGCTGAATTAAGGATTTTAGTCCGATATGTTTTTAGTCCAAAGTAACTAGATAAGATTGTGGGGCTCTTCAATACCTTTCCGTGCATATGAAGAATGCTGAACATGAAGTTGAAATGGAGAAGTTATGGTTATTTGAAGTTAAGTTAGAAATGGGAGTCTGGCACTACGCAGGGTGTAGTGGGGGTGCGTTTCTAGTGAGTTAAGCAAGGCGTAACTTATGTTATGCAGGGCGTAATTGCGTAGAGTAAAAACCCTAATTTTGGGGTTTTGAGCCCTATTTAAGGACTCTAACCCATTGGGGTCCTTCTTATCATCAGCATCCACCATCTTGAGCCTCTAACTTGAAACCCTAGCCATCTTGTGAGGGAAGCATTTGAGTGTTTTCTAGTGTGTTTTGTGAAGAAAGAGATCATTGAAAGTGTGCTTGGGGAGTTCAAAGCTTGTAGATCCAGACTCTACTCTTCTTCAACATCCTCCAGGAGGTATAAAGCTTGAACCTTTATGATTAACTAGATAGATCTAGCTTGTTATGGGTTTTATGAGCTTTGTGTCCCTTGATCTTGAGTCTAGTAAGTATGAGCTACTTTAGACCTCATGAGTGGCATTTTCTAACATTTCTAAGCTTGTAGAGTAATAAAAATGGGAACATGGTCACTCCCATCCTTCCATGCATGAGTATTTGGGCATTGGGGTGTGTTTTAGACTTGAGATTTGGTATTGTTCTCTTTTAAGCCATGCAAAGGCATAAAGTGGGGAACTTTATGACTCTAAACGTTTATTAGGACCAGATATGAGCAATAGATGGTTGGTCTTTATGGATTAAGAGCTAAAAGTGGAATTGGCTTAACAACAAAGTGTGTAGGGTGTACTCTAAGGACGCATTGCGTACCACTACGCAAGGTGTAGATTAATTATGCATTGCATAATCCTGCTGAAGTTGACTTTGACTTTCGTTAACCGTTGAGCGTTGACTTTTTGACCAAGTTTGACTTTGGGTCAAACTTGAGGGTTTTGGACTGTTGATTAAGATTATACCTAGTTTTGGTGTTAGTGGATTCGTGGGAGCAAGCAGTGCAGAAAGGGGAGCGCATCGTAGTGTTTCTGGGTTCTTCGATTCAAGTGAGTTTTCCTTACTGTACCCGTCGGTCGAAGGCACCAATGCCAGCCCGCTAGTTTTAGCTATCATTTAGTAGAGGGATACCCTATGCACTGTACGTAGTCATGTAGGATAGACTGAGGACTCTTGATCTATGCTTTCTTGCATGTTCCTTGATTGGTTGTGGCTCTAGAGTAGGATCATATGTCTGAGTGTCTATCTCACCTCTGGGTACATATGGTTATGCATTCCTTGGAGAGTTACTTATGTATCCTTGTGTATAGGATGTTGTTGTGTTGTAGTGATCCGCTATATATATATATATATATATATATATATATATATATATATATATATATATATATATATATATCC